TTCAGATTGTGTCCCTAGGCCTCCTTTATATTCACCTAATCATTCATATTGAGGGAAATCTAATCAGATCTCGTGAACATGCTCAGAAGTTACGTTAATGAGGAAACACTTTAGAGGCCATGTATTTTATGCAATTGTTACACAAGCACTTTATATATGCTTTTTAAATTTTTCTTTTTTGGGGGGTGGGGCTACACCATGCAGTATATGGAACTTCCCTGATCAGGAATCAGACTTAAGCCCCCCTGTAGTAGAAGCATAGAGTTTTAACCAGTGGACCATCAGAGGTTTCCCAGGGGATTTAGTGGGTTAAGAACCCACCTGCCAATGCAGGAGACGTAAGACATGCAGTTTCGATCCCTGGGTAGGGAAGATCCCCTGGAGGACGGCATGGCAATCCACTCCAGTATTCTGGCCTGGAGAATCCCAATGGATAGAGGAGCTTCGAGGGCTACAGTCCATAGCGTTGCAAAGAGCTGGACACGACTGAGCACCTGACACACACACCATCAGGGAAGCCCCTATGTGAGCTTTTTTCTTTTTTAAATTTGCTTATTTTATGTGTGTGCTCCTTTACAGCTTCTTGAGAAAGAAGAAAGAGCTTTTTGAGTGCGCTGGGTCTGGGTTGCTGTGTGCGGCCTTCTCTGGCTGGGGCGAGCAGGGGCTACTCTCTGTTGCAGTGCGTGGGCTTCTCGCTGCAGTGGCCTCTCTGGTTGCGACGCATGCGCTCTGGGGCACGTGGGGCTCAGTAGCTGTGGCACTCGAGCTTAGCTTTCCGCACACCATGTGGGATCTTCCAAACCGGGAATTGAACCTGTGTCCCCTACCGATTCTTAATCACTGGACCCCCAGGGAAGCGCACCTACATGTGTTTTTAGTCATAGATTTAAAGCAAACAGTGTCACACTTCATGAGTAGTTTTACTCTGTGACAGTTTCACCAGATAATTTTTTCTTTCCATCCAGAACATCAGGGCAAAAGTATGGCTAGCACAATAACTTTCATAAATACAGAGCTCAATTAACAGAACTGGAATATTGTTCTCTCTAAAATTACCCTCATTCCACCAAACACAGCCCATCAAAAGTAATTTGCTTGCAAAATAAGCCTGATCAATTGACCACACTCAGAGTCTCACCATGCAATGAGACTCCTCCAAACTGACTGAGGGAGAGCTCCTTGGGAGTCTCAGACAGAATTCCCAAAAGGCCCCTGGAAGCCAGCGAAGCCATGCCAAAGGCCTGCTCTCAGGCTATACGTGATGGATTTCTCAGTCCCCAAAATATCAAGATTCCTGCATATGCCCGGAGATAGTCTCTATCACCACCTGAGAAGGCTGCTCAGAACCTAAGGATCTCTAACTTCTGGAGGGACAGGTAGAGATCAAAAATGTTTTAATTCTACCCACAGTTGTAGTTTACCAAATGGCTATAACTCATACCCAACTTGAGTGAAAGAGCTTCTTCATATCTGAAAAACACAGATCAAAAACAGTAACATTCCAGACAAAACCCATAAATGTTAGAACCACATTTACCAGGTCATTCAGTAACCAGTCTTTCTGTTAACTTTTTATGAAGCCATCAGGTCTTCTATTAGGATTCTTCAAGTTCTTACCCAGTTCAACAGTATCCTGTGAAAGTCGCCCAGTTGTGTGCGACTCTTTGCAACCCCATGGATTATAGTCCATAGAATTCTCCAGGCCAGAATACTGGAGTGGGTAGCCTTTCCCTTCTCCAGGGGATTTTCCCAACCCAGGGATCGAACCCCAGTCTCCTGCATTGCAGGTGGATTCTTTGCCAGGTGAGCCACAGGGAAGCCCAAGAATACTGGAGTGAGTAGCCTATCCCTTCTCCAGTGGATCTTCCTGAGCCAGGAATCAAACCAGGTTCTCCTGCATTGCAGGCAGATTCTTTACCAACTGATCTATCAGTTCAGCAGTATAAGATGAAATTTATCAGAACTGTTATGGTCAAGAGGCCCTTCCTACGAATCTTCTTGAAGATGAAGCATTTTTGCTAAAACATCAGAGTACAGCAATAACAAATGTCAAAAGTCTTTAAAAAAAGACACAAACAATCACGATGTGATGGATAAAGAAACTTGGTTACAAGAATTATGACTGATTATAATCTTAACCCTTGAGAATCTTAATCTCTGGCAAAAAAAAAAAAAAAAAAAAACCAAGAAGCAAGTAATTATGCTCTTCCTAATTGGAAAACTTAATGTTTAGCCTTCCTCTCCTAAGCAAACAAAGGTAGGTAAACTTAGACTTGCCCAGCAATTAATACTTCACTATTTTATCCTGTTTGAAATGACTCACGAATTCTCTTCTTTCAACTTCATTTTCAAAGTCACCAAAATCTAGGGAGACTATTTTAGGTAGACATTCCCAAAATATAATTATTTCTACAGAGTTTACCTAAAAGCTTTTTTTCCCTTCTTTACCTTTAGAGCTCATGTAAGATTAAAGTTCCAGAAAGCCCAGATAGATTATTTACATCTCAGAGGCACAAGAGAAATACCAAATCCTTCTTGAAAGATAGCTTTGCCAATGACAAAAGGCTCACTCTGATACAACAGCAGAGCCATCAGAGGCCATTGCTCTCCAGATCTCTTGGTGGGCCCCCTTCAGCAAAGACAGACACCCCTGGATTACCCCTGCAGCTTCCAGGCCCCACAGGCTCATGGACAGTCCCTGAAGCTTTCCATTCCCCGTCCTGTGTTTTCCAACATCTTGGCACTAGTGGGAGTTTCTTCGGTTTCTTGGTTGGCTCCACCACTTACTGGACTGCACCCTCAGGCCTACAAGGCCCGTGTTTGCCCAGCTTCAAGACTGAAGAAACAGGCTGGAATCAGCAACAGAGAACCAATGGTTTAATGGATGGGGGAGTTTACAGGTCTGAAGCAAGTTTCTGGAGAGATACCCCACTGTGTGCAGTGGACAGTGGGCAGGACATGGTGGCAGGCTTTGCTCCAGAATTAGACTTTTAAAGAATTACTTTTGTAGACATTGCAACTCCAAGTCCAGGGACCTTACAAAACCAACTTTTTTAGAAACAGCATTTACAAGGATAACTATTTGGTACAGTGTTGTAACTGATTTAATGCACTCAGAAAGAAAGAACACTTTTTCTTTATTTTGCTGAAGTTAGAAGAGCCTCCAGTTTCAAGTCAAGAGGATGAAATTCCATGTGCAAGCAGAGACAGGAGAAAGAAAAAGTCACAACTTATAATATGGGAAAAGGGGAGTAGAATAGGACTAGTAATAAGTGGAATATTAGTCATGTAATGTTTTAAATTTCCATTAGTTGTACAAATGTTTTATGGTTATTTTTTAGACTAGAAACATTTTTCAGATGTTTTGTATGGACAGAAAAATAAGAAATGCATTAGCGTTATTAAGCAGCAGGACTTCCCTGGTGGCTTAGATGGTGAAGAATCTGCCTGCAATGTGGGAGGCCTGGGTTCGATCCCTGGGTCAGAAAGATCCCCTGGAGAAGGGAATAGCTACCCGCTCCAGTATTCTTGCCTGGAGAATTCCATGGTTAGAGGAGCCTGGTGAGCTATAGTCCATGGGGTCACAAAGAGTCAGACATGACTGAGCAACTAACACTAACACTATTAAGTATGTGTTTTAGTTAGAAGAATAATTCTGTGGTTATGTTAGTCTGCTCAGGCTGTAAGAACAAAATGCCCCAGACTGGATGGCTTAAAGGACAGAAATTTATTTCACAAAGTTCTAGATGCTGGGAATCTAAGATCGTGGTGTCAGTAGGAGTTGTTTCATCTTGGAGCCTCTTCTCTTGACTTGGAAGTGGCCACCATCTCTCTCTGTGTTCACATGACCTTGTGTTTGTGTGTGGACAGAGAAAGAGACAGAAAGAGCTCTCGGGTGTCTCTTATAAGGTCTCCAGTCTTAGGAGATCAAGACCCATCCTATGACCTCATTTAACCTTAATGACTTCCTTACAAATCTACAAATATATCCACACTTAACATTAAGGGCTTCAACCTGTGAATTTTGGAAGGACACGAACATTCAGCCCATAAGACTGGCCCACCAAAATATAAAAGTAAAGGGGGAAATTATAGTTCAAGAATATACTTGACTTAAAATTTAAGTTTATATGTTATAGAACATTAAGTAGAGCAGAGTTGAGAAGTTGCTCTGTAAAGACTGTATTTTTCCTAGTTCTATTTACTTAATGACCCGTGTGCACCTTTAGAAGCAGATTTTGGTCTCTAATGCTCTCACTGAAAGAGAAAATGGCTCTAGTTTTGTTTTATGTTGGCTTATAATTTCTTTGTAAAGTGACAATCAATGCTTACTATCATATTAAAGCTTGATCTAGGATATTCTGAGGACCAAAAAAAAGGGAACTTACAATTTTAAAGGATTAAATAATTGTACAGTGCTCTATGTTCTGCCAAAAATTACTAAGACCCACTCAGTTGCTGTCTGAACTATCTTGGGAACCTCCCAAATCCTGGATCAATGCAAAACAGAGAAATGTCAAGAATTCTGGAAACAAGAATTCTGCTTCTAATGTGGTCAAGAAGTCCCAACCAGACCATCCTTCTGCAGATTAACTCTAGATCCTGGACAAATTTTTTTAAAAAATACACTATGAGGGTCCAGACTTAGAAGAAACAATGACCACAGGACGAATGTGTTGTTTTTATGGCTTTTAGCCAAAGGGCAGGTCACAGTCTGGGCTCTGCAGGGTGATTAAAGCTCCTTTAGAAAACCACTATCATTCTGGTCGGAAGAATCAGAGTCAGAATTTGGGACAATAGCTGTCAGAAGTAGTTTGGGGAGGAATCCCTAAAAGGAGAGAGCCAGAGAGGGAAGTTCTAGATTCTGTATGTCAGCTCTGCCCAAATCTCTAGCTGACCCATGAATGGAAAAGACAAGTTTCTTTCAATACCAGTCAGATTGCAACCCATGGATACTGACAGAGCAAATCACCTCATCCTGTTTTGGTTTGGAATTCTTCTCAAACATCACGCTGCCACAGAATATGTAGCTGTTGATTCGCTCTGGATGCCAGACAGGCAAGAATGTTGTATAAGATAGCTGCCTTCATGGCGCTTGGATGGATCCCAAACACAATGTTCCTTTCCAGACCTGAGAATCTTCGGACACTGTCCAGCACAATGTGATCACCCCCCATGTCACTCGCATTGGTGAGACACACTATCCCTTTCTTCCTCATTGCTTTCAAGAGCTCCTGGTGGTATTTCTCCACATCTCTTGCGGTGCTGACAAGGACAGCAACATCCTTGGGAGAATAGCCCCTTTCAAAGAGAAGCTTGCATGTGTCTGCCACATGCGTCACTACTGCATTCAGAGTTAAGTCCTTCTTAATACTTAAGGTTCCCTGAACATCCCGAGCCCATTTAGCTTCAAGACACATCTTCAGGGGCTCATGAGGGATGTTACGTGGAGGATTTTTCCTGACCCTCTGCAATACACGTTGTAGGTATCTGGCTATTTGATCTGCGTTGCGTACGACTCTGGTGAGCTCTTCCCTTGGATACTGGGCTGAGAGAGCAGGGAGGCCGATGTCCTCCACGTGGCTGGTCTGAAAGTAGTCCAGAAAGATCCAGAGAATTCTTGGGCAATCCGTGTCCCTCTGAGTGATGGTTTTCGCCTTTCTATACCAATTCCCATCTTCAGTGCGGAAATTCTGAGCTTCATCGATGATGATGTGTTGAATGTGTGTAAAGTCATATTTCATGAAGCTCTTCCGGGTCACTGCCTGGCAGATATCTTTGTCCCTGTGAAAATTAAAAAGACACATCCCGGTTTTCTCTTGAGTCAGTAAAGGAGTAAGATGATCATACTCCTACAAACATGTGGAGAAGGAAATGGCAACCCACTCCAGGGTTCTTGCCTGGAGAATCCCAGGGAGACGGCAGCCCACCAGGCTCCCCCGTCCCTGGGATTCTCCAGGCAAGAACCCTGGACTGGGTTGCCATTTCCTTCTCCAGTGCATGAAAGTGAAAAGTGAAAGTGAAGTAGCTCAGTCGTGTCCGACTCCTAGCGACCCCATGGACTGCAGCCGACCAGGCTCCTCCATCCATGGGATTTTCCAGGCAAGAGTACTGGAGTGGGGTGCCATTGCCTTCTCCACAACTTAGCAGCAGCTACAAACATGGTATTGTTGCCACAGATCATTTTACCATCTTGCTCTCAAGAAACAAGGTGATTCAGGTTGTCGGGGATGTGGAGTGAATTTAGACAGAATCTTATTTGCTGACAATAAGATCCAGCTGCTGGGACTTCCCTGGCCGTCCAATGATTCGAATTCGGCCCTTTTGGCTCAGTGCGCCTGGGTTCAATCCCATTAAGCGGTGTGGTACAGCCAAAAAAAAAAAAAAGATCCAACTGCTTACCTGATAAAATTCTTCAAAGGCTTGTTCTCACAAATGTAGAGAATTTCATTTGTCTTACAGTGAAATGTGTTCCTGATCTTCTCCATGATCTTTATGGCCATGATCGTCTTCCCTGAGCCAGGTAAGCCATGGATAAACAACTCTTTGTTCTTGCGCAGGTTTTTTGAGAAGATCTTATACTGCTTGGCTGTGAGCAGATTTAAAACCTCACAGCCGAGCTGGTCACTCAAGAGAGACCGGAAGCCAAGCAAGACGATCACAAGCGACTGCAGCAAGGCTTCCATTTGCTGAGTGTCTGCTAGGTGATAGGAACTGGGGTAATCAATCACAGAGCCTGAACCCGCCGAGGATTCTGCACTGCTCTCGAGACTCAGGTGGAGGACCTTGGTCGTGATACACAGATTTCCAGTGTAGCCTCCCACGTTCACCAACTTCTGCTTCAGCGTGAACGCAACGTGAGTGCAATAGGACTGCCCCTCTGTGTCTTGCTCCCTGAGGACGGTGTAGAGAATGGGCGGCTTGTTCTGCGCTATCAGCAGAGCATCACAGATGACTCCTTGCTTCTCTTCCAAGTTCAGGTCCACAGCCCAGCTTGTAGAAAGGATTAAAATTCCCTGGGAGAATGGGTCTATTTGCCTATTTATTAATTCCTCCAAACCTTCATTCTGCAAGAACAGTTCCTTCTGGAGCGATTCAGGGGTGTATTTCAGACATCCTGGTGTCACTAGATGTGGAAAAGATTATACATTTAATGGCAAAGGTCACATTTTTATGATTAATTGTAATTAATCAAAATTGCTAAACACTCATACTTAAATTGTAGTCTTGTTAATTATTATAAATTACATATTTTATATACATTCTTTTGCCAATATTATTATATTACAGTGAGGAAAAAGAAGCCTTGATAGTCTGGCACACTTCAGCTAAGCCTATGTGTTTATTATGTTTATGACCCTGGTAAATTTCTTAACCTAAGACTGTTCCCTCATCTGTAAAACGAACAGAAATCCATATTTACAAAAACAGCACATCTTTTATGGTGAGGAATAAATGAAATTGCATAAAGTATGTGCTTATTGTACCTGGTTGAGAAGTTATTGTTTCCCTTGGTTCTCTTAAAGCACCTGAATCTCAAAATGCCCCTGAACAGTCCCCACTGATGGAAGTAGGAAGAACCCTTCCAAGAAGAAGGTGGTCTTTAAATATCAGTGGAGAAGATGGAGCTATGAGAACTTTACTGGAAGGAAACTCCATGCAGCCCTGCACTGGGAGATGCTGAGATTAGACTCTGAGATAACTCTCCTGAAGCATCACTCCCTTACAGATCTATGTAAGACTGCATCCATAACAAAGAGTCTTCCCTTTGACATGAGGGAGCAGGGAGCAGTGTTGTGACATGAGAATAAACTTTGCCCTGTAGGGTTTTAAACTTATGTCAACGATCATTTGTTCCAAAGAGGTCGGGGGAGGAATGAAGAGACTGTTGTCTTTCTGTGGTGGTGACATCTGATCACATGCTAGAATCTGGATGTGTAGTGTCGATTTCCAGTGAAATTACCCATATTGCATTGGTGGTTGTTTATTGTTCCTTGCTGTGGTGCTTTCTCACTGGTACCAGATGTTTGCTTAACTTGGTTTTGCCTGTAACCCGGGTGGTGGTAAGTAGGAGATGGAATCTATGATGAGACACATCCGGATTTTGGAGATGTTCAAAGGTGGGAGGAGGGCTTTCCTGGTGACTCCCAGTGGTAAAGAACCCTCCTGCCAATGCAGAAGACACAGGTTCAATCCCTGATCCAGGAAGATCCCATATGCATCTTTGGATGGACAGAGATATAAGGATATGTTTAAACATGCAGCTTTAGAAGCCAAACAGGAAGTATAAAATCAATAGTATAAGTATAAAATAAGAAGTATAAAATAAGAAAACACACCATTTGTTGATTATACCTGGGAGTTGACATGCATCTATGGTTCTCACAATTAAAAAAAATACACTATGAGGATCCAGACCCAGAAGAAACAATGACCACAGGACGAATGTGTTGTTTTCATGGCTTTTAGCCAAAGGGCAGGTCACAGTCTGGGCTATGCACGGTGATTAAAGCTCCTTTAGAAAACCACTATCCTGGTTGGAAGAATCAGAGACAGAATAATTTTGCAAGGCAGATATACTGACTGTTGTCTTTTTCATATGAGTAAAAGGGAACTCAAACAGGTCAAGTGCCTAGGCCATGGTCACACCACTGGGGATTGGCAGAGCCGAGGCCTGGACCCGGTGCTGTCTCAGACACCAGACTGTCTCGTGGTCTCTACTGCACAGCCCTGCAAGCCACACAGACTACGCCTGCTGCTAAGTGGAGCATGTCACTAAAGCATTTGATGTTCATAGCACCTCCTCATCACCAAATAGCTCTTATTTTTAATTACATAATGGGATATGCTTCCCAAGGAAATTATGTGGAGACAATGTGTCCCTTTCATTTCTTTGATATTCTACTTGGCACTTAATCAATGACAGGGGCCAGACTAGATGTCAATAAAGTGCCAACCACTTCATGTGCACCAGAGGAGTTACCACTCTGCATGTGACTTGGGGTCTCTGTGCCTTTGTGCAGGTGTGCCCTGGGACTCAAATGCCCTCCTCTACGTTTGAAAGTTAAAGTCGCTCAGTCGTGTCCAACTCTTTGCGACCCCATGGACTGTAGTGTCCATGGAATTCTCCAGGCCAGAATACTGGAGTGGGTAGCTGTTCCCTTCTCCAAGGTTTCTTCCCAACCTAGGGATCGAACCCAGGTCTCCCATATTGCAGGCGGATTCCTTGGTTAGGGTGCTAGATCCCACATGGTACAATAAAGGTGGAAGGTTCTGTGTGCCACAACTAAGATCTGGCTGGATCTTAGAAAAAGCAAGAGAATATCAAAAAAACCTCTACTTTTGACATCTCAGTCCTTCCACTCCTTCCAGAGGCCCCATGTTTGTTCTCTCCTCATGATTCTCACAGAACTTCATATCCATACTAATCTCACCATGGATCTAGGGAAATCTTTTGTGTTTGTGTTTGTGTATGTGTGTGAATGTGTTTTTTTAAATTTATGTTAGGGAGTCCCTGGTGGCCCGGTGGGTAAGACTGGGCACTCCCAATGCAGGAGGCCCAGGTTGAATCCCTGGTTGGAGAACTAGATCCTGCAACCATACCACAACTAAAGTCCACACGCTGCAACCCAGTGCAGCCTAAATAAGTAAAATTTTTTAAAACTGTATTAATTTATTTTTGGTTGCATTGGGTCTTCATTGCTGTGCACAGGTTTTTCTCTAGTTGCACAGGCTACTCTCCAGCTGTGGTACGCCGGCTTCTTATTTTGACGGCATCTCTAGTTGCAGAGCACAAGCTCTAGGCATACAGGCTTCAGCAGTCGTGGCGCATGGGGTCAGTTGCTCCGTGGCATGTGGAATCTTCCCAGACAAGGGATCGAACCTAAGTCCTCTTTGTCGGCAGGTGGATTCTTAACCAATGTACCACCAGGGAAGTCCAATAAGTAAACATGTTAAGAGTATTTTAGAGTATAGTTAATTAACAACGTGTTAGTTTCAGGTGCAGAGCAAAGTGATTCTTTTACACAAATATACACGTGTCTAGTGTCTATTCTTTCTCAAAACCTTCTCCCATTTAGGCTGTTCCGCAATATTAAGCAGAGTTCCCTGTGCTATACAGTAGATTAGCTAGGGAAATCGTTAAACACGGAGCCCTGAAGTATCTGGGCTTTTTCCAACTACAGGAAATCAGGTGAGGGCACCTAACAGTTTAGGACACCAGGATGGAGGTCGTTCGGGGCTGGCTGAATCTGATCCAGTACTCTCACCCCTGACTTTCTCTAGTACCCATAACGCCAGGCACAGACAAAACTCCAGAGAGTCATTACATTTCTTTCAAGAAACATTTATAGTGTTTAATCTGAAGCTAAACTATTGTCGATCAATAGTGGATTTCCTTATCCACAGAATCTGGGCTCCCACTGCAAAACTGAACCTGAGCTGATTATTTACCACGTTGAGAGTTCAGAATCTAATAATAGCAGACTCTGAAAAATGACAATTTGCTTTAAAAAATTGTTCTAACTAGGTAATACATCCCCATAGTCCAAATGCCAAAGCACTCCTACTCCTGTTTGCTCTTTTCCTCCATCTTCAACTCCATCCTACTCCCCTAACACAGACCTTTTTTTTTTTTTTGACAGTTCCTCACCTATTTTTCCAGAACTTCTTCGTGCAAATACAAGCAAATATTTCCCCGTTTTGTTCAGCCCTCACATCTTTTTGTCCAGCAATATGTGTGGGAGATCTTTCTACACAAGTACCAAGAACTTCGTTAATTTTTTTCCACATTTGTCTAACATGCCATCTTATGGATGTGACATAAGTCCCTGTTGATGGGTTCTTGCATGTTTGCTCCAACTTTTTTAAAATAAATATTTATTTACCTAGCTGTGTAGGGTCCTAGATGCAACATGTGGGACCTTTCATTGCAAAGCATGGATTCTCCAGTTGCTCCATGGCATGTGAAATCCCGGTTCCCTGACCAGAGATGGAACTTGCAACCCCAGTGCTACAAGGCAGGCTCTCAACCACTGGACCACTAAGGAAGTTCCTGCCTCAACTTGTTGCCATTACAAGAATATTACAATGCGTGCACGCTCATTCACTGGGTCCTCAGTCGTGTCTGACTCTCTGCGACCCTATGGACTGTAGTCTGCCGGGCTCCTCTGTCTATGGGAGTTCCCAGGCAAGAATGCTGGAGTGTGTTGCCATTTCCTCCCACAGGGGATCTTCCCCACACAGGGATCAAACCCACATCTTCTGCATTGGCCGGCAGATTCTTTACCACTGAGCCACCTGGGAAGCCCATTACAATGAGTAACCTTGTACATAGTCTTGGACATTTAGTGTGCACACAGGTATATATAAAGTATAAACTCCCAGGAACTCTCTGGAAGTCCAGTGATTAAGACTCAGCACTTTCACTGCCGAGGGCCTGGATTGGATCCCTAGTCAGGGAACTAAGATCCCACAAGCCATGTGGTATGGCCACAATAATAATAATTTTAAAAGTCCCAGCAGTGGGATTACTGGGTAAAAGGGTAAATGCATCTGTCCTTCTGATAGATATTGCCAAATTGTCCTCCATAGTTGTACCAATATGTATCCCTGCCAGTAATGAATGGGAAGACTTGCATAGCATCGCATACAAATGCCGAGAAATAGCAGTATAGCATACAAATGATAATATCAGATTTCTTTTTTAATCCAGTAGATACAAATGATAGCTTGTTTAAATTTACATCTCCTATTTTGATTACTATTAGGAATCTTTCCAAATGTTTGAAAGCCATTTGAATTTTATTTGCTCTGAACTATGTTTGTTGATTTTTCTGTTAAGCTGTTCTTTATCCTTATCAACTTTTGGAAGCGCTTTATATATTAGAGACATTGGCCCTCTGTAATATCAGTTGCAAACATTTTTCCTAGCTGGTCAATGGCCCTTTGACTTTGTACTTAGTTGTTTTAGCCATGCACACTGCTAATTTTTTAATGTAATCACATATGTCAGGATACTGTCATGGCTTCTGGATTTTGAATCTTGATTGTTCTAATCCTCATGCCAAAAGCATAAAGCCATTTATGAATGTATTCTTCTAGAACCCTTATGGCTTTGATTTTTTTTTAATTCTTGATTGATTTAGAGCTTATGTTGGTATATAGTAGAAATCGTGAATCTTTTTAAAAATAAATTATCACCCAGTTATCCCAATGTCTCTTTATTGAAACATCCCCATTCTTCTCCCTTAGTTGAGAGGCCAGTTCCATCACAAACTAAATTCTGATATGTGTTTGCATCTCCTTTCAGATCTTCTATTCTGTACCCTTGATCTAATTATATGTCAGTATAACTGTTTTATTTGAGGCTTTATAATGATTTCATATCTGGAGTGCCCTTCTTGTGGCTCTTCTTTTTCAGATTTTTATTTCCTGGCTCTTCTTACTTATTTTTTCACTGGAACTTTAAGTTCCAATGAAGTTAAGTTAATCTCCAGATTAAGTTAATCTCTTGGGTTTTTTTAAATTGATACCTCACTAAGTTTATAAAATAACTTAGAGAAAATTGACAGCTTTCTTCCCTTCAAAAATATAACATGTCTTTCCATTTTATTTTTCTTCTGTGTCCTTCAATATTATTTAAACTTTTTTCTCAGATTGGCTTATCTTAGATATTTTAACTTTTTGTTGCCATTGAAAATTGGGTATTTTCTTTGATTGTTTGTTATATTAGGAAACTGCATTTTTGTGATATTAATTCTGACTTCATACAGTGCTGTTAATACAACTGTTGGTATTCAATCCAAATTCTTCTATTGTTTATAATAGGTTTTCATTGGATTCTCTTGAATATGGTCCTATGTTCTTCAGCTTTTATCCCTCTAATTTCTTTCTCTTATCTAATGACATTGGCTAATTAACACTGCACAAAAGTTGTAGTAGTGCACATAATGGTTTTGTCCCCAAATTTCATAGAATGCTTCTCATATCTCCCTATTAGCATAATGGTCTTTGGTGGATATTGATAGATATAGACATCAATACATAGATATAAATATAATGTTAAAGAAGTATCTATGGGCTCCTATTTAATTGTCTTCTAAAAATTAAAATATATATTCATGCTTTTCAAATGCTTTTTCAGTATATAAGAGGACAATCATAAAATTTTCTGCATGAAGAAATGGTGGATTATAATTAGAAATTATGGATTATAATAATTACTCTCTTAATGTTGATCCATCCTTTCATTTCTGGAATTCTGCGTTTGCATTTTCATTCATAAGGAAGATTAGTCTGAGTTTTCCTTTTGTATACTATCTCTGTCGAGTTTTACAATTACTGTTACTCCCATTTAAAATAACCTGGGAATCTTCCCTTTTTATGACTCTGGAATAATTTGCATAGTGTTGAAACTGTCTGTTCTTCAAATGTTTGGTATGATTCCTGGAAAATTGATTTTTTTATACCAGAATAATAGGTTATCACCCTATGAGCATAAAGTCCAGTGTTTTGTTTTTAGATATAGTTTATTCAACATTAATAAGTTCTACTAAAATAGAATTTATTGAATTTAAAAAATAATTATCAATGCTTATGTTTATTCTTAGATTTAGTACTGTTTATTGTGGACATTTATTAAAATATAAATTGATATGCAAATGAATGCAAAAAGCTCAGTTACGTAAGGTGAAAAAGAAATCTTAATTGGAACATCATTATCTATTAACTTAAAGGTCCTCAATAGACATTTCCACATACATAGGACGCTTCCCTGGTGGCTCTGTGGTAAAGAATCTGCCAGCCGATGCAAGAGACTCGGGTTCTATCCCTGGGTCAGGAAGATTCCCTGGAAGAGGAAATGACAACCCACTCTAGTATTCTTGCCTGGAGAATCCCATGGACAGAGGAGCCTGGCAGGCTACAGTCCATGGGGTGGCAAAAGAGTTGGACACGACTTAGCGACTAAATAACAACAAAAGGACATTTATGTATCAGATTCTAGTGCCAGATAAGCCATTAACTTACTGCATATAGCTGATCAAGTGGTTTTTCCTCTCTAGAAGTATAGAAAGAGGACAGCAACGGACTCGTAGGTAAAACCTAACATGCTGGGAGCGAGGAATGAGAACAGATGCTATCCTTGGTCCTGAAACATGATTTTGTGTTGTCCTAAACCTAGCTCAGAGGTTAAAGCATCTGCCCACAATGCAGGAGACCCCCACCCCCACCCCCCTGCAATGGGTTCAATCCCTGGGTCGGGAAGATCCCCTGGAGAAGGAAATGGCAATCTACTCCAGTATTTTTGCCTGGAGAATCCCATGGACGGAGGAGCCTGGTGGGCTACAGTCCAGGGGGTCGCAAAGAGTCGGACACGACTGAGCAACTTAACTTTCACTTTCAAACCCAAACATGCTGACGCATGCTGTAATTGATCTTCACTGTGTTTGTTTTGTGTTCCATCTTGATATAAATCTTATCTCTTCATATTCATAACTGGCACTCCTCTGGTAAATTCGGTAGAGGTAATTTGCCCTTACTTCGGTCATTTGTCCTTGGTTCAATGTGTGTCTCTATTTCAACTAGATCAAAAGTTCCCAAAATGGATGAGGGTCAGAATACTGTGAGTAGCTTGAAAAAATGAACATTATAAGGTTCTATCTTCAGGTATTTTAATTTATGAAGTCTGGAGTGTGGAGCCAGGTATCTGTACTTTTAAAAATAACCAGAAATACTGATGATCAGTCCTATTTAAGAAGAAGACCAAAAGGTTGTTAAGGGCAATAATCTTCCTGGATTCTATACGTGATACTGCCTCAGTGAATGAGGTCAGTGAGGGTTCATTTCTAAACTACTTATCATCAATATGTTTGTAGCACCATTACCTTGAACACATAGGTTTTGCAGAGTGTACTTTCAGGACTTTAAATAACAAACATAACAGTTCATCTCCCCTTCTACTAACACAGAAACTGGATGGTGTGAAGTAGGCAAACCATTGTTGCTACCTGGAAATAAGAGTTGTTGGAGATCCTTCTTATGTTCCAGACCTTTCTTGGAGTACACTGGTCTGCTCTGAGGAGGGCTGTTAGACAGGCTCAGCTGAGATTCAAAGTCTTTGCACAGCTGCCTAAGATCTTAACAAAGAAAGGAAATTCATGTTATTCTGACATGTTAGTTCATCACTTCACCATTGAAAAAGACTTTATGAGTGGGTATATTGTATGGCTGTCTAGGCATGATTTGAGACATAATAGCAAGAAAACACCCCATTCACCCTGTATGAACAAGTGCCTTTATTGCATATGAAAGTTGCCAAAACCATCATAAGAGAGATGTTATTTGGAAGTTTGATGTGTTTCCAGTCAACATAAGTCTCCACTCTCTGTATCTGAATAGCATTTTGTTTTTATTTCTTCTATGGTACATAGAACATTCTTTTAGTACACTTATCTATGCATGTATCTATGGTGTAAATATTCCCACCATGGACAATTTCAAGCTACCAATATGATGTCACTAAATGCAGAGTCGGGGAGACATGCATCATAACACATCATTTTAGAGTAATTACATCATGCAGATACAATAGATGTAAATAACCTCATAGCATCATCTTAAAATGTAGTATTATAAATAATTGGGTTTTTTATTTACTGCATTGGTTTTAAATATAATTTATGGAACTGTATAACTTGATTTTTGTTTGTATAACTTGATTTTTAATAATGACTGTTTAACAACTGGCTCACAACAATCCTGAAAATTTAATAAATCTTAATAAACAGTAAGAGTCAGTTCCAATACACCACTGCAAGGCAATCATCCCCAAACAATTTTCTTTTCATCTGATGTGGGAAATTGCCCATTATAAGACACTGGACGCAGGCTTGTCATCACCCAGCCAAATTTTCTCATGTTTGGAAAGTAGGATACTTGAAGATTCAAAAAACACAGAGTTTAATGGATGCGAGAAGTTCAAAGTCATGGCAAATATGTTTAATTGGAGTTTCTGAAGAGGGAGAAAAGACAGGAAGGGAGTTTTTTTCCATCTTACCTGGATCTGTATCTACCATCATGCTTAGCCATTCCTCAGTTGTCAGGCTGCAAACATCCTTATCCTTCACCATCCAGGAACTGGGAACACCTGAGAACACTGCACCACAGAATCGCTTCACTCCGATCACACAAGCATAGCCATATAACTCTCCCTTGTCTAACACATCCAAGATTTTGACTGTGAAATCTATCTGGCACTGACATTGGCAAAAATGGACACAAGATAACTTTTGTATTGCTTCTTCTATTTTCTTTTTCAAAGAGCCACGGTCAACATTTTCTTTAGCACATCCCAGAACTTTCCTACTTTCATCATCCACACCAATAACAAGATAGCCTCCTTCAGTGTTTGCAAATGCAGGGATATACTCTAGAATCGTGTCTTTCGTATATTGTTCAATGTGTTTTGTAGCAAACTGCTTAAACTCTATGAATTGAGACTCGGGAAAAGGCATGACTTCATCACGTTCAAAATGGTCTTTTTGAAAAACACAGTAAGTAGGATCCACGTCATGGAGGTCTGGATGTATAACCTTGGAAATTTCACGAGAAGGTTCTTTCCCTGAGCTTTTTGCATTTGTTTTCTTGGTTTTCAGGAAACTGAATGCCTTTCCTGAATCCATGAGAAGCACAGAAGTGCCAGATCTACAGTATAACGAAGTACTCAGGCTACAAATGCGGGGCTTAACAGAAATGTCTTCAAGGAAGGCGTCAGTGCTCCAAGACTTCACAAAAATGTAGTAACACTTCCCTTGTTGCTTTGTCTTGAAGAAAGCTTGCAGATTTGAAAACAGAATAAGTGTTCTCAAAGCTGCTTCTAAATCCAGTCCCATCTCCACGAGATTTTCATCGTTGTTTGCCATTTCCAGTTGAATCACTCCTCCTCCTGAGTTTAATAAAGCACATGCAGCCTGGATCACTTTCACCTTCTCTTTCTCTCTCTGAACTTTCTGCAGCTTTTTTCTGTTACTTTCACCAAGAGTTACTTTTCCTACATTGATGACCAAGTCTGAGTAAGATGATTTTATCGCCAAATGTGAATGTTTCTCCATGTTTATTCTGCAACTGAAACCATTAAAACACATATCTCATGTTGGTGAAGAAGTAGATTGCATAGTACACAAAAATGCATTTATTAATTTATTTTAAAGTGTGTATAACGAAATCACTTTGTGAAGCATCTATACTTCAATAAAATAAAACTTTTTTTAAAGTTTACACTGAGCTGGAAAAAAAAAAAGTGACAGAGAATGGGAGATGAGAAGTGGTGAGAGGAGACCTGAGAGTTAGAAAAGGGCTTACAACAATAGAAAGCCGAAGAAGCATTTTAAGGAGGGGAGTGACATGAGCACACAGACATTGTAAAAGACACATTACTGATGAACAGATCCATAGTTGCCAAGGGTTATAGGGAGGGAAGGGGTAGCTGGAAGGGGTAACTTCAAGGGATAACACAGTGGAGTTTGTCGGGGTGATGAAACTGTTCTGTATCCTGATTGTGGTTGTAATTATATGAATACATGTGCTAGAAGTCATAGAACTGCACACCCCAGAAGTAAATTTTATTGCATGATTAATTTTTAAGAGCAGAGGGCACATTATTTACAGAGGGAGAACTAATTAGAGAGGAGTAAACCAGTAGGGACGGTTTTGCAGTAAGTTGAGTGACAGATGATGGTAGCCTGCGCCACAGTAGGTAGGGGTCATGGGAATGAAGAAGTGTGAATGTTTCCGAGAGATATTTAGAAAATATTGAGAAAAATTAACACGGCTCTGTATTGACCAGCTAGAGATCAGGAGAAAGGATTAAAATTTAGTAACTGGATTTTTGGCTTGGGCAATTGAGTGGTTAGCAGTCCCACTTACTGGCAAAAAAAAATCCATGATTATTGAAGGTGGGTGATTGATAAATGGAGATTCACTCTCCTTGCCTTCTCTCTACCTCTGTGTATATTTGAAAAGTATCTAAAAAAGTTTTTAAATTGATTTCATCTGTTAACTGGGTGGTGGACAAACTAGTGTTCATTATATTGTTCTCTATTTTTTTCCTGTAAATTTGAAATTACTCATGACATAAAAATGAAAACTTTTACCTCCAAAAATTTTTTTTTCCATTTATTTTTATTAGTTGGAGGCTAATTACTTTACATCATTGCAGTGGTTTTTGTCATACATTGAAATGAATTAGCCATGGATTTACATGTATTCTCCATCCCGGTCCCCCCTCCCACCTCCCTCTCCACCCGATCCCTCTGGGTCTTCCCAGTGCACCAGGCCTGAGCACTTGTCTCATGCACCCAACCTGGGCTGGTGATCTGTTTCACCCTAGATAATATACATGTTTCGATGCTGTTCTCTTGAAATATCCCACCCTCGCCTTCTCCCAGAATCCACAAGTCTGTTCTATACATCTGAGTCTCTTTTTCTGTTTTGCATATAGGGTTATCGTTACCATCTTTCTAAATTCCATATATACGTGTTAGTATACTGTAATGGTCTTTATCTTTCTGGCTTACTTCGCTCTGTATAATGGGCTCCAGTTTCATCCATCTCATTAAAACTGATTCAAATGAATTCTTTTTAATGGCTGAGTAATATTCCATGGTGTATATGTACCACAGCTTCCTCATCCATTTGTCTGCTGATGGGCATCTAGGTTGCTTCCATGTCCTGGCTATTATAAACAGTGCTGCTATGAACATTGGGGTGCATGTGTCTCTTTCAGATCTGGTTTCCTCGGTGTGTATTCCCAGAAGTGGGATTGCTGAGTCATATGGCAGTTCTATTTCCAGCTTTTTAAGAAATCTCCACACTGTTTTCCATAGTGGCTGTACTAATTTGCATTCCCACCAACAGTGTAAGAGGGTTCCCTTTTCTCCACACCCTCTCTAGCATTTATTGCTTGTAGAGTTTTGGATAGCAGCCATCCTGACTGGCATATAATGGTACCTCATTGTGGTTTTGATTTGCATTTCTCTGATAATGAGTGATGTTGAGCATCTTTTGATGTATTTTTTTGCCATCTGTATATCTTCCTTGGAGAAATGTCTGTTTAGTTCTTTGGCTCATTTTTTGATTGGGTCATTTATTTTTCTGGAGTTGAGCTGGAGGAGTTGCTTGTATATTTTTGAGATTAATCCTTTGTCTGTTGCTTCGTTTGCTATTATTTTCTCCCAATCTGAGGGCTGTCTTTTCACCTTGCTTATAGTTTCCTTTGTTGTGCAAAAGCTTTTAAGTTTCATTAGGTCCCATTTGTTTATTTTTGCTTTTGTTTCTAAAATTCTGGGATGTGGGTCATAGAGGATCCTGCTGTGATTTATGTCGGAGAGTGTTTTGCCTATGTTCTCCTCTTGGAGTTTTATAGTTTCTGGTCTTACATTTAGATCTTTAATCCATTTTGAGTTTATTTTTGTGTATGGTGTTAGAAAGTGTTCTAGTTTCATTCTTTTACAAGTGGTTGACCAGTTTTCCCAGCACCACTTGTTAAAGAGGTTGTCTTTTCTCCATTGTATATTCTTGCCTCCTTTGTCAAAGATAAGGTGTCCACAGGTGTGTGGATTTATCTCTGGGCTTTCTATTCTGTTCCATTGATCTATATTTCTGTCTTTGTGCCAGTACCATACTGTCTTGATGACTGTGGCTTTGTAGTACAGTCTGAAGTCAGGCAGGTTGATTCCTCCAGTTCCATTCTTCTTTCTCAAGGTTACTTTGGCTATTTGAGGTTTTTTGTATTTCCATACAAATGTGAAATTATTTGTTCTAGTTCTGTGAAAAATACCGTTGGTAGTTTGATAGGGATTGCATTGAATCTATAGATTGCTTTCAGTAGTATAGCCATTTTGACAATATTGATTCTTCCAATCCATGAACATTGTATATTTCTCCATCTGTTTGTGTCCTCTTTGATTTCTTTCATCAGTGTTTTATAGTTTTCTATGTATACGTCTTTTGTTTCTTTAGGTAGATATACTCCTAAGTATTTTATTCTTTTTGTTGCAATGGTGAATGGTATTGTTTCCTTAATTTCTCTTTCTGTTTTCTCATTGTTAGTGTATAGGAATGCAAGAGATTTCTGTGT